ATAGAAACATCATGTTTTAGTTATTTTTTTTTTAAATCAAATAAAAAAAAAATTTAAGTACTACAAACAAATAGGTCTAACAAAGACCTGTGTATGGGCAAAAAATTGTTTATCTACAACAACTTAAAAGATTCAAAGTTCCAAACCAAAGTTGAAAGTTGCTTCTATTCACCCCGTTTTAATGTACTGATCAAAAAAACAGATCTTTGCTACTACTTAGCCTTAGACAATTTGAATAAAAATTGTTTTTCTAAGGAAACAGAGATTTTTATATTTAAACTAGTTTCAAGTTTGCTGAGTCTAATATGTTTTATCCAAGCTTTTTTTTTTTTTTGTACAATTTATAAATAATGTTAATGAAAAGCATATATATAAATTCATTTAAAATGAGTATTTATTTTTTAAAAGATTTTTTTATACCTTTTAATTTTGTTGTAAAAAAAAAAAAAAAAAAAAAAATAACAAAATTACTAGACTGTTATTTTCTAATTTGATTAATTCGTAAAAAGTTGGGATAGATTGCCTGATTTTAAATAAACCACAAAGTTTTGTGTTTTTATCAAACATCAATAACTCCTTAAGTAAACGTAAGGCAAGAAAAAAATTGATTCGTAAAGTTGATATACATTCATAAGTTGACATACATGCTATCTTTGAAAAAATAAAAATATTTTTTTTTTCTATCACCCAGATTTTTTTTGTAGCTATAATTGTCAATGCCTTTTTTATTGCCATTATTAAGTGCATTTTATGAATCCACAATTAAACTGCTTCGCCTCGCTTCAAGAGAGACAAAACAAAGGTTTTCGGGTTTTTCAGGTTTTAAACTCTTTGGGTAGCAAGTTTTACCATGGCAGCATTACTAAAAGCACCGTATAAGGATAATAATAAACGGAAACATTGAAACACAGCCCTCTTTTATATTCAAAATTAATCAAACTTTAATTTGCTGTAAATTCAAAAAGGATAAAAATTATCAATAATCCTAATCAACAAAATAAAACGCAACTTACAATAAAAGTTCTAAACAATATTTATACTTGCAGTTATATTCTTTTAATCCAGCAAAAATACTGCAACACAAAATAAAATTTAGGAGATAAGGAATAAGTTCTTTGCCGAAAAACCTTACTTTAGCATTATAACAAGGGCTGCCAATTCGAACTTTTTTTTTGAGTTCGAACATGAACATGTTCGAACTATATGGAAAAAAAGTTCGAACATTTTCGAACTTTTTTTTCAAATAGTTCGTCTATTTAGTACATTTAATAAAATTGCTGTTTTACAAATTGACTAATTGGCGAGTTGACTTCATCCAATTTTTTTTGGATAAATTGAATTTATCAATTCAGAGCAGAATAAATCAGTATCACGTTTGGAGAAGAGCTTCATTAGCTAGTTTAAGCGGCTTTAGGGCAACACAAAGGTAATAAACTTTATCAAGTTCATTTTGGAGAGAGAAAAATCAGTGTGTTTTGCTAATTAAAGCTATTTTTATTTCATTTTGGACTTTCAAAAACCGTTCTAACATAGTAATTGTGCTGCTCCACCTTGTCCAGGAGTCTCAAATCAAAACATTCCAATTGCTTTAACAATATTTGGCTAAAATATATATATATATATATATATATATATATATATATATATATATATATATATATATATATATATATATATATATATATATATATATATATATATATATATATATATATATATATATATATATATATATATATATATATATATATATATATATATATATATATATATATATATATATATATATATTTATATTTTGTTCATTTTATATTTTGTTGTTAAAATAAATTACAGATAAGTTTCACAATATTTGGCTAAAATATATATATATATATATATATATATATATATATATATATATATATATATATATATATATATATATATATTTATATTTTGTTTATTTTATATTTTGTTGTTAAAATATATTACAGATAAGTTTCACATGGTAAATATCAGTAAATAAAATATTTTAAAACCAGATCATCATCATTTTTTACAGGTGATCTACGAAACAATTATACTAATTTTCGAATTTCGGCCACCGGCTCTTGAAATTCAGTTTTCAATGAGGGTATTAAATTTTTAGTAAATATTTGAATTGTTTTAACATAATCAATTGAATTCTCATCTTCTTCCTCACTATCACCATCATCATTTTCATTAACATCTTCATTAGAATCATTAACTTCAATAATATCACCAAATCAATTGAATCGTATCATTAATTTCATTGTTATTACCAACTCAATGGTATCACCAACTTCAGTGGTATCAATAGGTAAATGTCGAAATTATCGTTCGGTAGTGCAGCACTTTTTTTTAAAAAAAGCACATTAATCACTTATAAAAAGATAGAATGATTATAACACATTTGATGTTCTAGTTTAATTTTATAGCCATTTTTTTTCATCACTGACTCCATCTGTCACAGAGGCAACAATATCTTTGTCTAAGT